TTTGAGACATGATCTCATTAAATTGCCAAGTTGCCTACCCTGTGCTCAAATTTGTGATCCTCCTGCCTCGGCTCCTGGTCACCTGGTATAGAGAACTTCTGGGGTCAGTCCTTTCCCTCTTTGACCTGCCACTTCCTCTTGTGTCAGTGGGATGCAGTGGCTGGGCCTGAGGTTCCACTAGCCCCAGAACTCTTGTTCAGGGCTCCTGGAAGGGCTAGCCTAGGTCCACTCCTGTAGGGCCCCCAAAGTAGGCTTGGAGTCCAGTTGGACCTCTGTTGCCTAGTGGCCAGGCTGGCCTTGCCAGTGGGTCTGGCCCTCCCTGACCCAGCCTGTAAATAAGTGATCAGGGCCTCACCTTACCTCCTCCGTGACACCCCTGACCCCCACTCAACATCCTGAGACTTCTCCCCACCCACTCCCCTCTGTGCTCTCCAAGCTGCACATTGCAGAACGCCCTTGTGGGTCCAACACAGGAGTGGAAGAGGCTGCATGCTCTCCTGGTTCCCCAGGTTTGGGGAACATTGGGGACCAGGAGCTGAGTGGCTTTGTAAGTCTTGCAACTTGCAGCGGTTTCACAGATTCTGACCCTATGGCTTGAAGCCTGTGCCCACTGTTCACCCTTTGCTGGGGATCCCAGCTGCAGCCTCCTGGCTGTCATAGAACTGGCAATGCTATTTTCTTTTTTTTTTTTTTGGTACTGGGGATTGAACTCGGGACTTTGCGCTTGTGAGGCAGGCAGTGGAACCGCTGAGCTAAATCCCCAGCCCTAACAATTCTATTTTCTAATCACAGCACTGCCTGAATCTAGCAAGGAAACAGCCACCATCCCTGCAGCTCCTGGCCTGGGTCCTTTTTCTCCAGCTGCCCCATCACTGGGATGGGGGGGTCTCAGGCAGGGTCATCCTGCATCCATGACATGTTTGCAGGGAAGGATAAACGTGCTCAAGCAGATGCAAAATTTTTCAAGCTACATAGTCGAGGCCATTGTCCACCCCACCCTGTCTTCTGTAGAGGCTGTGAGCTACTCCACCCCTAGCTGGGCGGGCCTTAGGAACCTGACTGCCCAGGTGGCCTGGCACTGGCATGTAGCTGCTGCAGACCCCTGGGTCCTCCAACTCCTGCCTTGTTCCAGTCTCTGGAAGGTCCCTTACCTTCAGCAAAATCCCTTAAATCCCTTAGGGTCAGAGATTTAGCTCAGTGCCACTGCGGCTGCCTAGCAAGTGCAAAGTCCTGAGTTCCATCCCTAGTACGGCAAAAAAAAAATCCCTTAGGCCTTTCCTAAGTGTCCCAGGCCCTCATGGACAGTGAGGTAGAAGTGCAGGGGAGGACCCAGATGGAAACAGTATTTCAGCCCTAGAGGGAAAAGACTAGCAGGACCTTGGGCCACAGGGAGCAGCGGCTATCGCCTGATTCATCCACTAACACAGCAGAATAGCCTATCTCTGTGATGGAACCTCAGCAAACCTTTTGTTTAAATTAATGAAGGACCCCACAGTTTCTCACCTGGGCACTACTTCTGGGGTCCTACAAGTAGACTGTGGGAAAGTCCACCTGCACCCTGGTGCTCCGGAACACCTGGGGAGAGCCTCTGCCCTGGAAGCCCCTAACCCACGAAGCCATCAAGCTGGGGCCTGCCTGTGCACGGTCCAGCTCCTCACCTTGCTACGGCATGGCCAAGGGTTTCAGGTCTTCATCTGTAAAATGGGGCCAAAAAGGACCCACTTGCCTGGGCCCTCGTGAAGATCAAGGTTACTTTCAGCATCTGGCAGAGCAGTGTTCGGAATGAGGGAGCTGCTGCTGTTGCAATGGGCAGCAGTGGGTGTGTGAGTTGCGATCAGGGGCAGGGAACCTGGACTTGCATCTGAGGGCTTTATTAAGCCCTCCTTCTGGCAGATGCCCCTGGCGTGCATACCCACCTGAGGCACTTTCTTGGGGTGGGGGTGTGGGTGTGGATGCTATGACTTCCAAGGACACTCTAAGTCTGCCTCCTATGGGTGCCAGCCAGCCTCGCTCCATCACCCCAAACAACTTTGCTCCTGATCTCGTCCAGTCACAACACCTGGAACTTGTGACGTGTGGGGGTAGGGGTGGAAGTGGGGATTCTTTTAAAACCTAAAGTTAATTATTTTTCTAATTTCATGCTGCATGCATTATGCATCAGCTGTTATCGCTGGCAGTAATGGTAATTGCAGACAGGTATGCAAATCCACTAAAAATGCAGGCGAGTTCACCTAACTGCGTGGGCCGGTGGGGTGGTGCCAGTGCCAGGCAGTGGGATGTCCTGAGCTTCAGAGACTGAGAATCACTTTAAAAAATAAGACTTCAAAATTGTGTCTTAGGAGGTTAATTTTATTGACAAGTGTTCGATATTAAACTATGTGGGGCCAGGAAGGGATAGAGGGATGAAAGGAGACACGTGTAATTTTGTTTTTTTCTCTCTCAGCATTTAATAAGATGTTCTCCTGCCTGATATTTCTACCTATGTCCATTGGTAGTAAAACTGCCTAGAATGAGACTTAATTCCTTTGGGGAAGCAAAAAACAAAGCCCTGTGGAATTTCAGTGGGGAGAAGAGGGGCCTAAAGGGTTTCCTTTTGGGAAACCAGGGAACAGGAAGAGGGAAGGCAGTGGCAACAGGGCTAGTGACAATCCGAAAGATTAGGGCTGGGCCATGGTGTCTGTGCTACCAGGCTCCTCAGTTGCCAGCAGGATCCTGGGCCACAGCAAGGAGCCCAGGGAGAGGAGCAGGGTGTGCAGCAGCTGGTGAGGACTAGTGCGGTACTGATCCTAAATAAAGGGCTGGCACTTGCCAGAAGGACAGGGTCTCCGGAGCTGTGAAATTCCTGACAGGTGAGAGGCAGGCTCTGCTCCAACTGGGACCCCTTATTTATCAGCACTTTGCTGGTCACCATCTGATTGTGTGGCTCCTCCCACTAGGATGTAAACTCCTACAGTCAGGTGATGGGATGTGTGTGCCTAGCATAAAGCTTTGTTGTCATGGGGTGAATGAATGAAGAAAGCCCCAGAACCTGAGACCCAGGCCCTGGATCTCATTCTGACTGGATGCCTTGCCCATAACTGCCTGAAAAGGCAAGTGACTGGTCTGAATCATGCCACAGGTGGTAAGAGCCAGGCACTTACTGTCTAGTGCTTCTCTCTCAGTTCCCCATGAGATCCTCAGCCCAGGAGGGAGCCCTGCTCACCTGGGTATGGGCAGTGGCCTGGTATGTTGCCCAGTTAGAGGTCAGTCTCCAGGCATCTGAGGCTGGCCCTGCTTTCCTTTGGGTGACCCTCACTCCTTCTTGTCTACTCCTCGTGTATGCACAGGGTGGAGTCTACCCTGCAGGACCCTAGATTGGATTTGGATTGCTTTTTTATTTATTTATTTATATTTTTATTTTTGGTACTGGGGATTGAACTTGGGACCTTGTGTTTGTGAGGCAGGCACTGGAAACACTGAGCTAAATCCCTAGCCCCTGGATTGCTTTTTATAAGTGAGGGCCCAGTGTGCAGGGAGGGACAGGCCTGGCAGAGAGAGACAGCCCTTCCTGGTCCTCCTCCTTTGGCCTTGGGTCTGAATTCTCAAGCCCCTTCCCAGGGCCTTGGTGGGAGAGTGATGGTGGGTAGTATCCCACCCAACTCAAGCAGGGCCTCATACTGGCTGCTTTCTGCCACCAGTACGTCCATAGACCCCCTTGCCCCTGTGGGTTCAGGCCTGTTAGCATTAGCAGTACCTGGCAGCATCCCCTTCCAGCTGGCCATGGCTCTTCAGGGCCTGTGTCCCCAGTGCCCAGAGGAGAGGCACGCTCAGAGAGGGGAAGGAGCCATGAGAGCCACACACCCTGGACTCACAGTATGTCTGGCCCTCAAAGCCCAGTTTGTTCCCTTCTGCTCTTCTGCCTTTGGGGTGCAGGGAACCTCAAAGCTGGCAAGCAGATTCCCCATCAGGTCTTCTGGCAGCTGCTCCCCTCTGCAATTACCCCCGCTCTTCCTTGGGGCTAGAAGGAGGGGGACAAGTGCTGGGTAGTCAACCAGGGATGCCGGGAGGAGGAGGAGGAAGGAGGATGGTAGGGCAGGGGCCGAGCTGGGCTCAGCGCCTCTCGGCCTGCTGCCTGCCGGCTGGCACGCCTTTATAATAAATAATAGCAAATAGCCAATCCTCAGGGCATCTTTCACACCGGTGGCTAATAACACGGCTATTAATGCCCCCACAGACAGCATGTGTGCTTCGCTGTGCTGACGGATGTCCCGGCCCTGGTGCAGTCATAAATCAGCCCCTCTCCTGGGGCAGAGCTCGAGGGAAGTGTCATTTTCCATCTTGGTAATGGATCGGGGCTTCCCTGCCCTGCTCAGGGCGCTGCTGGCTGCTTATTGCTTGGGGTTGCCTGTATTTGTGTTTCTGGTAACTTCACCCCTGACCCACCCCCCACCCCGAGAGTGCTCTCAACCTCTGTGCATCCTCTTGCATCTCTGGGCTTCATCTGGAAGGTGGAGCAGATGAACAATGGGCTGCCAGAAGCAGGTGAAAGCTTGAGATCACCCCACGCTGGGTCTGCCCAGCCAAAATAGGGAGAGGACAGGCTGGGATGGAAAGGACTTATGGGCTCCCTCCAGTTCAAGAGCAAACAGTGCCAAGGCCAAGAGCCCAGCCCCCCAAAGCACCTGCCCAGACTCATAATGAGGCCTCACTCCTGCCCGCCTTGGGTAGAACTGGTAGCCCAGCAATCTAGGCAGAAAGATGCTGAGAGGAGATCCTCACTTGCTATTAAGTCCAGGAGGGGCCACCTCCTTGTGCCCCAGTGTCTGCCTACCCCTGGTGGGGCCAGCAGCATGGGGCTGCCAGGCAGCAAATGAGCCTGACGCTGGGCCAGTGAGCGTTGTGCTCTGTGAAATTGCATGGGGCAGTTCTTTGAAATGGTCCTGTGGGACCCAGCCATCTTTCCCGCTTGGCATGAGAGCCTTTAACTGCCCCCTCCCCATGGCAGTGTCCCTCAGCCTTACCTCCTTGCTGCCACAGCCCTTGGGCTGCAGAGTCCCACTGGAGTGGCTGCTCCCAAGGCCCTTGGTGATGTTGAGTGACACAGTGGGCCCAGGCCACGCTCACATTCCTGGCCCTTCGGCCCTAACAGGCCGAGGGCTGAGAGAGCAGAGTGCAGACCTGGGTACACTGGCAGTGTGGGGGACACTGGAGGCTTGGGGAGGGGATCCTGTGCTTCTGTCTTCTGGACTCAACCATTCAGATGAGGCTGCAGATCCCAGGTAGCATCCTTGGCTCCCTAGACCGCCTGAAGCGAGGGGCCTATGCTCTGGGTGCACAGGGACACCCTGTGCGGCCCCGGGGGCTTGGGAGTGGGGCGTGAGGGTGTTCTGGCCCCCTGCTCCTGGGGCATGCCCCACACCGCCCCAGGGGGGTGGCCTCTCCCTGCTTGCCACTTCCTCGGCCCTCTTTCAACTTTCACCCTTTGTCTGCAGGCCGCCACCTCCTCTGAAAGGCGTCTGTGTGCCTTTTAACCCCCTTTTTCTTTACCAAGATTTTTTTTCTTCTTCTGTTTTTTTTTTTTTTTAAATCCCTTTAAGTCACTTGGCAGAATAGGCTCGGTGCAGAGAGCATTCTTGCGTGACAGAGCTGAGAGGGAGCCACTCTCCAAAGAATCGGTATTCCTGCCACTCAGGCTGTGTCTCCGGGGGAAGGAGGGAGTCCATTACCCCACTGAGGAGTTCAGATGTTCACCGAGGAGCTGTCAGGCCCCACACATCCTGCTTCAGGAAGATGCCTTGTGGGGCAGGGGCTAAGTCCCGCATGGCTGCTCCCGTTTGCAGAGGTTTTCTTGCTGGGAGGCAGGAGCGGGGTTATTCCTGCTTCACCTCTGGTCTCATCTGTCCAAAGAGGCAGCCTCTTCTCCCCCAGTCTCTGCCTCCTCACCTGTCAAAGACAATACAAATGATCATGCCCAACAAAACAGAGGCCCACATGGACAGAGGACTGTCAGGGCTTCCTGGGCTGGAGATGGAACCCAGGCCCTCACACATCCTAGGCAAGTACTTGACCATCGAGCAACATCCCAACCCCAGAGCCTGTTTTCTTAAATGCCACTTTCCTGCAGGCCTGGGACAGGGCTTAGATCATTGCCTCCCATCTCCTGTCTCCTCACATCCAGATACCTGAGCAGCTCATATGAGGGGCCCTTCCTTGCAGATACCTGGTTTCCTTTTCTCCCTGAAAATGGAAGGGCTGGGAAGAAAAAGATGAAGTTTTGAAGCTGCCAGCCCTGCAGGGCCACTGGCCCAGCCCAGCATTGGCTCAGTTCCCCTCAGCTCCTGCTCTTCCTGATAAATGTCATTCACAGGCTCCAACTGAGCCACCATAGCCTGGGCCTTCAGAACAAGCACTGCTTTTCCAACTGTGGGAAATAGGATCATCAGGGCCACAGGAAGTTGGGTCTCCATGTCCCTAGCTTTTTTCTGCAGCCACCCCATCTCTTAGGCAGGGTAGATCCTCCCCACCCCCTGAGCCCTCCCAGTTTGCAGAGACCTGGGGGTGGGGCAGGCTGTTCCCAGGAATCCGAGAAACAAAACCATGCCCTCCCCACATAGCTCTCATTAGAGGTGTCTTGTAGAAGGCCAGTGCCCTGGTGTCCACATCCCCCTGCAGGAGCCCCTCTTTGGAAAAGGGCTTTCATTACACATCTGAGAGTGTAGGCTCTGGTTTGAAATCAGATCCAGATGGGCTCGGCTGCATCTGGGCACTTTTCTTTGTAGGGCCGAAGGTGGCTGATTTGAGAAATGCTCATTGTCTGGGACTGTTACAAATGAAAACAAGGACATTTAGGTTGCATGATTAATAAGCCCAGCACCCAAGCTGGGGGTGGCTGCCCACGGGCTCACAGCTGGCAGGACCTATGTGGAGGAAGGGAGTGTTCAGCCAGGGGATGCAGGGTGGAGAGGCTAAATCAGGGGTTCTTAGCGTCCCCAGGAGAAAGGAGGTCTGAGGGCCAGCAAGCCTGTGTAACATCAGTCCTCACTGACCAGGGTCTGGTCAGTGCTGCAGCTCCAGGTGCTAGCAGGCTGGTGGGCACAGCCCCTAGAGAGGCTAGGGAGGGAACTGGACAAGAGGAAAGACGAGGACAGTCCTGCATGAGGGGGAAGCAGTGAGCTCCAGCACGAGCCCTTATTGCTATTACCACCCGCGTGATTTCATCCAATTATAAATTGTAATTTCTCTAGGAAAGCGAGAGATGGAAAGAGTCCAATGAGGTCATCTGCCTCCCTGGCCAGGGTGAGGAAATTGTTTTATACTGCTGGGGGCACCTGGGCCTCTGAATAGAGAGGCTGGTGACTGTGTCCAAGGAACTCCAACTGCCTCCCCACGGCACATGCAAACCGCCCAAGTGCTGATTTTGGAATCACATATCCAGGAAGAAGCCAAGTCCATGCCGGTGGTCCTCCCACAGCATGCAGGACAGAGGCAACGTGGTTTGGTGTCTCTAAGACCCATGAGGCCTGGTCCCTGCTTCCCCATCAGGCTTCTGCAAGCCCTTCCCTGTGCTGTTCCCTCCTGTGAGAATCATCTCAAATGTCACCCTTCCTTCCCTGCACCCAGGCAGCTGAGTCCCTAATGGCGATGACACAACATGATGAAAGGAATTCTTTTCCGGGCTTGAAGGGAGTATCTAAGGCTGGACTCTCCTGCACCACCTGGCTCAGTACCACACACACAGTAGGTACTTCATAAATGCACCCAGTGAACACACTCTGTTTTCTTATTTGAGAAACCAAAAGTCTGAACCAGGCTCCTGGTGGGCCTGTCCAGCTTTGTACATCTTTTGCCCTTCCCTAGGTTTTGCAGTCTCCTGGAGATGGTGCTGTGCCAATACTGGACCCTTGGGGTGTCCCTGCCCTGGGCAAGTGTGGCCTTACGGGCATCAGGGGGGATACTGGCTTTCCAGGTGAGCCTGGCTGGCAGTGGTTGGGTGTGTGTGCTCTGGGCAGCACTGTGGCTCTTCATGCGTGAGGGTGCATAATGACGATCATTAGTAGCCACCTGCATTCACTGAACTGAACGTGGCCCAGGAATAAATATGGAAGTGAGCTCGCCTGGCACACACCTACCACCAGAGCCCAGTGCCTGAAGCAGACACACTACTAGACGGTGGAGCCCATAGCATGCAAAATTAGTGCTTAGCCAAAGACACAGGGACTCTAGGGTCCCTAGGGATCTGTCATGAGGGCCCTCGTTAGCCCCTGAAGGGCACCTGCTCACTCAGCCTGCTCTGCTGAGCTTGCCCAGACCTGCCCTGTGCCCCAGCCTCCAGGTCTGCTCTCTGCATCAGAGAATCATTTTTTGTGTCCATACAGTAAAAGGTTTCCTTTGTTAGTTCTTTGAGATGCTCACTTAATTTTATTTTATTTTTTTAACATCACAACTCTAGTAAAAGAAATTTGAAAGGGAAGAAAAAGCCAAGCACCCAACCGCCCAGTTCTGCCCATACATATCTGCTATCTACCCAGGAACCACACACCTTAACTTTTTCCTGAATTTCCACTTTGCCATTTTCCCTGAGCCTGGGACAGCCCAATACAGCTGGCAGGATGTAGAGGACCACCTCACTGTGCAGCTTGAAAAGGTGAGGAAGGACTTGTCCAAGGTCATATAACCTGTAGGATAGCCGGGGCCTCAAATCCCAGGCCGATTCCCTTCTCCCTGCACCAAGCCAAGACCCAGTGCAACAAAAAATGTGCTACTAAGCTGGGCGTGATACCCTACACCGGTAATCCTAGCACTTGGGAGGCTGAGGCAGGAGGATCACCGTGAGTTTGAGGCCAGCCTGGGCTACATAGTGAGTTCAAGGTCAGCCTGAACTACACAGTGAGACCTGGTTTCAAAAAAAAAAAAAAGGGAAATGCACCACTAAACAAACACTGAAGCACAAGCCCTATGTTTCTCCTGATGCCTTCTCATGTGTTCCTCTCTCCCCATGCCCTCCATTTCTCCATACATCCATTCATCCTTCTCTGCCTCCCTCAATATCTCCCTCTGTCAGTCTCCACCCACCTCTCCTATCCCTCCATCCCTCCATCTACCATTTCTCCATTCATCCAGCCAGCCAGCCAGCTGGCTTCTACCATTCAACTTCTACCCAGCAAACATATACTGAGTCTCATCATGCTCTAGGACTGGACAAGACTTTGGGGATCCAAAGAGGACTCCTCACCAAGAGATGGAGGGGAAGGGGAAGGCAGGGAGGGGAAGGGGATATAGAAAAAATTAAAATGTGTTATGTATTTGAACGCGTTCCCCGCATCGAATGTAATCACTATGTATTACAAATATGTACTAATGGGCTGGGGATTTAGCCCAGTGGTTCTGTCGCCTGCCTTGCAAGCACAAGGACCCGAGTTCAATCCCCGGTACAAAACAAAACAAAACAAATATGTACTAATATATATATTTTTTAATTTAAAAAGAAGCCCTGGGCCGGGGATTTAGCTCAATGATGCCACACCTGCCTCGAAAGCACAAGGTCCTGAGTTCGATCCCCAGTACCAAAAAAAAAAAAAAAAAAGAGAACCCCTCATCCTCTGGGAAGTCACAGTCTTATGGGGAGGCCACTGGTGAGCAGGCCTCAGCACCAGGCACTATGGAGTGAATAGCCCACCTTCCCCACCTTGGTAGAGGGGTGGATCCCATGGGCTTTCTGGGAAGGAAGACACTGTGCTGTGGTTCTGGGATCCTTTACACCCGTGACAGTCATACATAAGCCCAGTGTTAGTTCAGAGTGGAGCAGGTATGGCTCGGTTCCCCCTTGACCTCCAGCCTGTCCTCCAGAGCCACTGCCCACCTTTGGCCCTCAGTCTCTCCATCCCTCCCCAAGTTGAACCAGTCTTAAGCTTTACAGCTCTCAACTACTTAGAGAATGGTGCCTGCTGGTATTAATTCCTATATTAGCAGTTAGCCCTCCTGTTTCATTCTAACCTATGGCTCTCAGGGATAGGTTTTATGTGCATGTCATTAATCAGATGCCTGGTGCGTGCTTTTGGAAACCCAGGTGGCTTTATGGCTGGTGACTGCTGAGTGGTGTTTGAAGTGAACAATATGCCCCCTCCCTGGCCAATGCTGCTCTGTGACAAAGAGGGCAGAGTTTGAATCATTGCAAGCAGGTCACAGCAGTGTGAGCTGGGGGCTGGGGTTTGTTTTCATTTCGGACTTCCAGGCTGAGGTCAGTGGCAGAATCTGACCTTTACAGATGAAAGGCTCTTTGTAATCAACCCCCATGTTTGTTCCATCGCTGCTGACGCCCCCACCGCATGGCCAGCCACAGGGCCTGTTCTCTCTGTCCTATCACCCAGAGTGGTCACTCCTCTCTCCTACAAGTACAGACCTGGGGGCTGCAGGGTCACTTTCCCTCCCTCTCCCCCACAGGCAGCAGAGGTGAGGGCTGGGAGCTGCAGGACAGGGCTGGTGTTCCCACTTGGAGGCTCCTTGGATCGAGGTCAGCAGGGTCAGGAATAAGGTGGGAGGCGCATGTGCAAAGTCTTAGAATGGAGGGCTCGTGCAGTGAGCAGGCTGGTGTCTAGAGCTCTGAGTTAGCAGGGTCAGTGACGGGAGCTGTAGCAGGGGACAGGAGCTTGGCCTCAGGGAGCTCAGAATTCGGTGCTGAGGGGCCTGGCCTTCTTGCCAAAAGCAGCAGGAGCCAGCAAGGGACACAGTCAGGGAGGGGCAGACAGAGCACTCTGGCTGTTGTGTGGAGAACTGGTCTTTGGATGCAAGGAGGGGACATTGAGAGGCTGGGAGAGTGTCTTAGGGAGCAGGGCCTGTGCTGGGCATGGTGAGCACAGAAGGGACTGATTCAGAAGGCTCCCCAGGTTCTCCTCCCTGAGGATGGAGCTGGAAGGAAGTAGAGTGCTCCCAGGAGCGCAGGCAGGAGCACCATGGAGTGCCAGCTCCCAGGCCTGGCCCTGAACACCAGGTGGTATCAAAGGTGGCCCAAGCAGTATGGGCTTGAGGTGCCTCTGGGGGCCCATGGGAGTCCAGCTTTTCCCACCGCCCAGCCCCCTTCTTGCTTGCTGCTGGCCCCCAGGCCTGGTACCACAGCATGGCACCCAAGCGCAGCAGCACATGGGGTGCGAAGGGGCGGAGGCGAGAGCCTGCTTAAGCAGTGCGAACCCTCCCAGCCTCCACTCTGCTAATTAGACCATCTCCTGACAAAACCAGACTTCCAGGGATGGGTGTACTGGTGGGTGTGGGAGTCAGCTGAGTGTGCCCGCCCAGCAGGAGGCCTATCCCATTGCTGTGCCCACCCTCAGAGACAAACCCTGGGAAAGGGTGGGGCTGCATCCAGAGCAGGGAAGCCCGCAGCTCCAGGGGTCCTGGGAGCCCCGCTTGTGGGAACAGAGCTTCTCTGGAGAAAAAGTGCAAGACTTTTACTGTAGGACAGACCTTCCTTCCTTCCCTCCCTTTATGTGCAAGCAGCTGTGGCCAGAGGGTTGGGAATTCGCACCTGCCCTGGTGTTGGGCCAGGCCACACTGTATGGAGACCCAGCCACCTGCCAGCTGTCTGCTCCGACCAAGCTCCAGGGGCTGGAAGCATGCAGGTTCCAAGTCTGGAGGTGCCACTCCATCAGTGTGGCTAAGCAGGAGGGCACCATGGTCCGTGGCAGCTGGAGACAGCAGAGCTTAGACACCCACAGAGGCCATATCTGCCCCAAGTGCCCTGTGCCTTTGAAATCTCTGAACAAAGGTGGCAGGAGGAGCTGGGGCTGTGAGTGTGGGCGTCTCCCACTCAGCTCAGCTGGGCTTACAGAGGGAGGGTCAGACAGCTGCCCTCAGCCTCTGCATAGGGACCCTCAAGGGGGCTGCAGGTGGCCAGGCAGTTATGAGGGGTCCTCTGCTGGCTGCTCCTTGCCCCCTGGGAAGGCAGGGTATGTCTAAGAGGGGCCAGGATCGGCAGGGCCTGGCCTGCTGGGGAACTGTCTGCCCCCTGCCTGCCTGCCCTACCCAGCAGACCTTGGTGTCCCTTGGCTGTCATGCCCAGAAGGGGCTGCAGCATTCCAGGGAGCCCAGGGTGATGAGTCTGGTGCCACCGGCCAAGGTCAAAACCTCAGATTTCAGGAGATGGGCCTGCTTTTGCCGCAGAACCATGGCTTCTCAACCCGCCCCACCCAGCGGCGGTGCCCTTACTTGCCTCTCCGAGAGGTGGGAGGTGAGGGCCTGCA